TGTATTGTTTTGGAGGCTGTCCTGGAACTCACTCTGGAGACCAGGCTGCCACAGAGATCCACCTGCTTTTGCCTCTGGAATACTGGGATTAAAGGTGTGCGCCAACAATGCTTTGGCCTGCATCCATCCTTGGGCTGATCTCAGGCTTGCAGTGGCTTCCTGAGGGAAGGGGTTCACTGCTCACTCTCCTCAAGCCCTCTAGAGGCCTGGCAGAAGAGGGGTACATTGTCTTCAGACTCTACCAGGAGGGAGGTTGGGTCAAGGCAAACCAGAACTGCTACTTTCCAGAATCCTGCTTCCCTGCTTTCCATTCCCTGAGAAGGTCCTGGTCCTGGCAGTTGGGGCTTGTAGGCTACAACAGAGATTGGAGAACAGCGCTGTTTGTGTGGGAGTCTGACGCCTCAGCTGGAGTCCTTCCCTTCACACTGGAATCCTGAAGAGTTTGAAGTCCCCGTGAGCTGCCCCTGACCTGCTTTTGCTTTCCCTCATCACAGATTCACATTGTTCACTTCAACTCTAAGTACAGGACCTATGAGGAAGCCAAGAGTCAAGCCAATGGGTTGTCTGTGCTGGCGATCTTAATTGAGCAGGGGACCCTGTGTATTAAGATGACTCAGTAGACCTGGGATCCCAGAAGGGTTCACTGGATAGGAACTATGTGTTCTGGGCTATGTGAAGCCTCAATGCAGCCAAAGGCAGCAGTGCTGTGTGCCTAAGAAAGTCCACATGATGGATTTAGGGATAGGTGATTAGGAGAAGGCAGGAACCAGGCTGCAGAGATGGCCCAGGCATTGAGAGCACCAGAGGACCCAGGTTCCAGCCTCAGCACTCACAGGGCACTTCACCACCAGTTCCAGGAGACTGAATGTCTTCATTTGGCCTCTGAGGGCATTAGGCATGCACATGGTACACAGACACACATGCAGACAAAACACGCATACACATAAAACGAAAATAAATAAATCTAAAAAACATAGGAATCTAATTCTCAAAAGAACTAAATATTAACTGGGTCAATTTATAAATAAAATGCCCAATTGGTTCCATAGTATCTCAAAACATATAAACAAAGCTGGTTGTAGTAGTGTAAGCCTGTAATCCCAGGAGAAAAATGTCAACAGAATGATTTGAATGTGTTGTGGTGCATAAGTGTAATTTCAGCACTCGGGAAGCAGACGTGGCTTGCTGCAAGTCTGAAGCCAGCATGGTCTGTGGAGGGAGTTCTAGACCAGGCCAGGCTACACAAGAGACCTTATCTCAAAAAAACAAAAACAAAACCAAACAACAACAACAACAAAACCCGAAAACTAAATCAATCTGGGTGGTAGCAGCAGACACGTTTAATCCCAGAACTCAGGAGGCAGAGGCAGGAGGATCTCCAATTGGAGGCCAGCCTGGTCTACAGAGTGAGTTCCAAAACAGCCTGGGCTACACAGAGAAACCCTGTCAAAACAAACAAACAAACAAACAAAAATCCAACTCAAACCAACAACAGAAAACAAAAATAATATGCCTTTTAGACCACAGACAACTTTCATTTTCATCTTAAAAGAAAGAAGCAAACAGGGCTGGAGAGACACCTTAGTGGTTAGAAGTCCTTGGTGATCTTCCAGAGGGTGGGAGTTCAGTTTCCAGTACCCACACACACAGCTCACAACCTACTGTGACTCCAGGTTCAGTGGGTCTTGTGCCCTCTTCTGGGCTCCATGGGCACTGCATGCAGATGGTGCCCACAGACACACAGGCAAACTCTGATTCATAGTAAAATAAGTCAATGGCATCAACATTCACATGACAGAATGGCTTAGCAATAGGGCTACAGGAGCAGTTTTGCCTGGGACATCTTGTCTGCCGGGAGCCCTGAGGAAGGAGCCCAGGTAGTTGGTAGCAAGGAGCAGTTGTCTTGTCTTCCCCAGCCCAGCTGAGCCACACTGCCCCCTTGGTTTCTGCTCAGCCTTCCCAGCTAGGAGACCAAGCAGCTGGTGCTGGGGTCGTTCTCCCTGGTACGGATGCTCTGTGCTTCTCCCCAGGTTGATGAGTTTGCAGAAAACACCTACTACACCCCCATCACTTCCCAGTTGATCAACATCCAGTATCCAGGTAAGGAACGCCCTCCCTAAGGAAGAAGATTGAGTGTGGATGATTATGGAAGCCAAGGCTCAGCCCTTTGGAGGGAGGTTTGGAGGTCTTCCACTGAAGGACCTTGTCCCAGACTTTCTGCTGTAGGTTTAGGAGGGAAACATACCTCTGAGAGACCTGTGTGTAAGTCCTTGTCCATTGTCATCTCTCCAGGCTTAAACATGGGTTTTTAAATTAGCTATGTGTATGAGTGTTTGTGTGCTCCGGCATATCCCCAGAGGCCAGCAATGCCTCCACACTCAGAACAGTAGCTGCTCTTGCAGAGGACATAGGTTTGATTCCCAGCACCTCCTTGGGGCTCGCAACGTCTATTAAGCCCTGTTGCAGGGGATCTGAAGCCTTCTTTTGACGTCACTGGGCACTAGGCACACACATGGTATGCATACATATATGCAGGGAAAACCACTCATATACATAAAATAAATATTAGAAAAGTATTCTGAAGAGAGCGTGAAGAGATGGCTCAGCAGTCAAGAGTGCTTGTCCCACAGTCACCAGGACCAGAGTCCAGATCCCAAGTCTTTCTAACAAGCAGAGTGTCCCACAAATCCTGGGGCTTTAGCTCTGCTCCTGGAAGCTGGAGTTACAGGCAGAGTGAGCCTCCTGACTTGGGTGCTGAGAGCTGAGTCAGGGCTTCTGGGAGAGCAATGCATGCTCGTAACTGCAGAGCCTCTTCTAGCCTTTGGAAGTCATTTTGAAGCCCAGGCTGGGTTTGAATTCAAGGAATCTTCCTGCCTCAGTCTCCCAAGTCTAGAGTTATTCACGTGCACCACCAGGCCCAGTTTTCTGCTGTTACCCATCCACGGAGCAGAAAGGGGGGGGCAGATTTTCAGTCATCAGATCTTTTATTCTTTTGCCTAGGCAGGGGATTGAACACTCGATATGCTCAGGCAGAGCCTGGGTTGTCCCTTCTGGGGTACTCCTTCCCACTCAATACCCTGTCTTCTCTCTTAGGACAAACCACGACTCTGACAAACATTAAAATTCAAGACCTGTTTCCCAGAAACACGGGCCAGTATTACTTCTCTCTTAGGACAAACCACGACTCTGACAAACATTAAAATTCAAGACTTGTTTCCTGGAGACATTCGCTACTATTTCACCTACAATGGCTCACTGACCACTCCTCCCTGCACAGAGAATGTCAAGTGGTTCCTGTTTCGAGACACAGTCAAGCTCTCTAAGGCCCAGGTAACACTTGTCAAAGCGTCCCTTTGGCTGTCTGGCTGGTAATGACACCTCCAGAAGCCCATCAGATTCTCTGGTATTTGCCACACTCAGGCTCTGATACTGTCTTAGTTAGCATTATTATTGGTGTGATGAAACACTGTGATGAAAGAAACTTTTGAGGAAAGGGTTCATTTAACTTACACTTCCACATCACTGGAAGAAGTCAGGACAGGAACTGAAACAGGACAGGAACCTGGAGGCAGGACCTGGTGCAGAGGCCTTGGAGGAGTGCTGCTTACTGGCTTGCTTCTCATGCTTGCTCAGCCTGCTTTCCTATAGAACCTAGAAACACCAGCCCAGGAATGGCCCCACCCACAATGGGTTGGGCCTTCTCCCATCAATAACTAATTAAGAAAAAGCCCCACAGCTGTATCTTATGGAGGCATTTCCTCAGTTGAGGTGCCCTCCTTTCAGATGACTGTAGCTTGTATCATGTTGACATAAAAGTAGCCAGGACAAATTCTCCCCCACCCCCAACACCGTGAAACTGTGGGTGACCTTCAGCCACTGAGGCTGGCATGGGTGTTGGAGGCACCAGCTGATCCAAGGAGCGAAAGGTCTGGAGTCTGAGCCACGTGAAAGAAAGCCCGGGAAAGACCAGTGTTAAGTGAAGCCGGCCTGGCCATGCTGTGTTCTAGGTCCTTGTGCAGCTCACATCTAGTGTTTTATGCATCCTTGGCCAAAGACTGCTTCAGCTCTTTGTCATGTTAAAACACAGATTTATATTCAGTCTTTTAAAATAATTAATTTTAGTTAGTATGTGTGTGTAACCAAGTGTGTGTCTGTCATACTGGAGTGTATCTTTGTGTACCACGTACACACAGGAAGACATCAGAGTTCCAGGAATTGGAGTTATAGAAACTTAGACCCAGCTGTGTGGGTGCTGGGAACAAAACCTAGGTTCTCTGCAAGAACAATAAGTGCTCTTTCCCACTGAGCAATCTCTCCAGCCCAATAAATAGTCCTGGCACATGAGTCAGGCAACTTATCTACCAACCTACCAATCTACCTACCTACCTACCAACCTGCGTTACCTACCAACCTATCTACCTACCTACAAACCTACAAACCAAGCTACCTACCTACCTATCTACAACCCACCAACCTACCTACCAACCAACCTACCTGTCTACCAACCAACCAACCTACCTACCTGTCTACCTTCTACCAACCTACCTACCTACATACACACCAGCTTACCAACCAACCAACCCAACTACTTACCAACCTTACCCTCCTTCCTTCCATTCCCCTCCCACCCCTGCCTCCTCCTGCTTCTGACAGGGTCTCACTCTGTAATCCTGTCATGGCAGTTCTCCTGCCTCAGCCTTCTGAATGTTGAGATTACAGACCCTCCTGCTTCTGACAGGGTCTCACTCTGTAATCCTGTCATGGCAGTTCTTCTGCCTCAGCCTTCTAAATGTTGAGATTACAGGCATGAACCACCACACCCAGCTCTGAGTGTTTCTTGACTTTAGTGAATACACAACATCTTACTCGGACATCATATGCATCTGTTAATTGAATACTGAAGCTGCAATGCAAGCCTAATATTTCCTTAGGCTGGTATTTTCCCTCAGAAACAAATGTTCCTTTCTCTTAAATAGGAGAAGATGGAAAAGGGTTCTACTAGGTAAGGACCCTCCCACACAAAATGTTAATCAGTAGGCTGGTAGTGTCCCCCAAAAAGTGACACAGCATGGGTCAATTATCTCTGGAAGAATGCAACTTAAATCTGGATCTAGAAAAAGCTTGCTTGGCTCCTCAGAGGCCAGATGGGTTCATTTGCATGACATCTCAGTGAAGGCTGAGGCAAGAGGTTAGAGAGCTCTGAGCCAGCCTTGGGCACACAGTAAGTCCCAAGTCAGTCTGGGCTACAAACTAAGGTATTTATTAAAAAAAGAAAAACAAAAAACAAAGGCTCAGATTATTTAAGAATACTTGTCCAGCATAACAAGGTCTTAGATCGATCCCCAGCCCTGTGGGGAAAAAAATCCCAAAACACAAGGAATAAGTGTGAATGAGGCTATCAGAGTCAGGCTACAGAGATTCCTGATGGGGATCACCAGTCAAATAATGTCAGAGCATCTGATGGGCATAAAGAAATAAGAGATTTACGTATAGAGAGACAGGCAAAGGACAAAAAGTATGAAATTATCAACCAGACGTGGGGATAAATAAAAAAACAGGAATTTTAGGGATGAAACTGTATTGACCACAATTAGCAATTGCAGGAATGGGCTTAATAGCATGTTAGATTTAACTCAGAGACAATTAGTAATTTGGAAGACAGAGGTAGGGAAGTAGCCTAACCATGGCAGAAAGAGGAACGGAGGTGGAAATGTGCAAGGTAGCAGAGATGGAGAGCAGGGTAGAGAGCTATTGGATGTCTCACTCAGGCTCCAAGAGAGGCTCAGCCAGGGTGGGGTGCATGGCTGGAGTTCCAGCACCTGAGAGGGAGAGGAAGCACATCTCTGAGATGGAGCCCAGTGTGGTCTACACAGTGAGTTCCAGGACAGCCAGGGCTACAGAGAGAGACCTTGTCTCAGAAAACCAAACCAAACAAACAATATATAGTTATCTATGTGGAGAGAGGGCAGGAAACTCAAAGAAGGAGGGAAATGAAGAACCCAGACTTTTGCATGCAGAAAAAAACACTTCAAGAATGTAGATAGAGTGCTTTTAGACAAGCAAACACTGAGCTTATGTTTCTGTTACCTATTGCTTTTGTTCTGTTAACCAAATACTCATATAAGAAGACGAGGCGGGAGTGGGGGCGATACCTGCTGGGAAGATGAGCGCATGGATGGGTAAGAGCCAGAGGGAAGGCTGGCAGACCACTCAGGACCGCTGCCCTGGAGGTTGTCTGACACTGCCAGCATCACACAGATGGGAGCATCTATCCAGTCCCTAGCCAAATGCTTTCAAATTTCCCAGTGCTTTCCCTCCATAACTCCCTTCATGCTGTCTGCAGGTTTTGAAGATTGAGACTTCTCTTAGGAATCACCACAACCAGACCCTTCAGAACATCTACCGTCAGATTCAGCCCCTCAACCACAGAGCAGTAGAAGCCAATTTCCCACCCTTTGCTGGTAAATGTAAGTGACATCAAGTCTTGTTTTGTATGACTTGTGGACTTTAGTGTTCTTCCTTTCTTGGGCTAGTCTCTTGTAGCCACAGAGAAGGAAGGAACGCTCTTTCAAGGCAGGAATACTCACATAGCCAACATGGGTAGGGCAGGAGAAGATGGCGAACACTCGTTTCTCCCATCTCAGTGAGAACAAAGGGGATTCCATATGGTGTGCAGCCTCTTTGATCTTGACTGTAGTTGGAGGATGGAGAACCAGGTGACAGAGCTAATCCACAAACTCTTGGCTGTTTGTAGCCTCAAGTTAGCTTTACTGAGCCCAAGTGAGATTAGTTCTCAAGAGCCTATTCCTCCCATCTCCTGTCTTACAAATCCATTCCCAGTCCACTTTAAAAACCACAGCTCTACCCACCCACACACAAACTAAGGCCCATTAAACAATTTCAACGGCCCAGTGTTTGAGATCCATTCTTGGTCTTCTAGGCTCCCCCTAAGGTCTTGGGTCACTTCTCTGGCTCTGTCCTCTACAGCACACACAAATCGTCTTCTAGTTTTTAACAGGATCCTCTCCATTGCTGCTTCCATTTATGATGGATATCCCACAGTCTGGCATCTCCAAAACACTAGGGGTATTCTGTTGCAACTGGGCTGCACTTTCACCAGTAGCCTCTCTTAGGTCTACTCATGGCACCAAGCCTCAACTCTTTTGCATGATCCTACAGTACTGAGCCTTCAACTGCCACTCAGGCAGCACCTTCACCATTGGCCTCTCCTGGCCTCTCACAGTGCCAAGCCTCAGCAGCTCCTCCATGACCCCTTCATGCCTTTAAACCCAGTACTATCTCAGTGACTCTTACCAAGTCTGGCTGCCAGCATGAGATACAACCTTGGCAGCCTCTGGAACACAGCTTCTCTGGGTTCTCAGGAAACACTTCCCAGAAGATTTCACTTCAGCTATGCTGGTCTCTTCTTAATGTCCACTAATTTCTTAGCTCCAGCGACCAACATCAAGTATCCTAGCAAAGGGAAGTTTGCTTTAGTAGTTCTGGTATCTTGTTAATCACAGCTGATTCTCCAAGCTAACTAGAACTGCAGGATCTTAATTCAAAATAACAAATAGCTCCATTGTCTTTAAACTTCCCTCAGAAACTTTTCAAGCCAGGCCCCCATCCTCTGCACCTCTCTCAATATCCTTATCTGCCAAGCTCCAACATAGCATCTCATTTAGGCCTCAACGCTCAATGGCTTTTCCAGCCCAAAGTTCCAAAGCCCTTCCACAATCCTCCCACAATCATGGTCAGGTGTCACGGCAGTACTCCACCAGGCTGGTACCAATTTGTCTTAGGATTTCTATTGCTATGATGAAACACCATGACCAAAAGGCACGTTGGGGAGGAAAGAGTTTATTAGGCTAACCCTTCAGCATTGCTATTCTTCACTGAGGGAAGTCAGGACAGGAACTCAAGCAGGGCCGGAACCTGGAGGCAGGAGCTGATGCAGAGGCCATGGAGGGGACTGCTCACTGGCTTGTTCCCATGGCTTGCTCAGCCAGGAGCTGATGCAGAGGCCATGGAGGGGACTGCTCACTGGCTTGTTCCCCTTGGCTTGCTCAGCCCACCACCTCCTCCTCCTCCTCTTCCTCCTCCTCTCTTCTTCTGATTTATTTGATGGCTGTACCTTAGCATGTGTATGTGCACATGGAGGTCAGTCAGAAGAGGGGCATCAGGTCCCCTGGAAATGGAGTTAGAGATGGTTGTGAACCACCATGTGGATGCTGGGAATTGAGCCCAGGTCCTCAGTGAGAGCAGTAAGTGCTCTTAATCACTGAGCCATCTCTGCAGCACCCCTCCAGCCCACCTTCTTATAGAACCCAGGACCAATAGTTCAGGGATGGCACCACCCATCATGGGCTGGGCCCTCCTACACTGATAACTAAATGAGAAAATGCCTTACAGCTGGATCACAATGAGTCATTTACTGAGCTGTGGCTCCTTCCTCTGAGGACTCTAGTTTGTGTCAAGGTGACACACAGAACCAGCCAGTACACATACTCACAACATTGACATCTATTCCTAGCATGATGTCTGTCATGTGGTTCACTCAAACGCAGGCAAAACAAAGAGTGCTTAGAATCACTCACTGATCCATCTCTTTGTTCCATGATTTTCCAGGTTTTCATTTTCCTTGCTAAAAGTTTTCACTATTCTTAATTTTTAACATTTTATTTAATTTTCACTATTCTTGCAACATGTAGCAAGAGACCATTTGTCTGTATCTGTATCATCTGTATCTGTATCTGTATCATCTGTATCTGTATCTGTATCTGTATCTCAAATGCTCTCCATGGGAGACTCTCCAACATACCCCCAGGAGAGAGTGCACATAGATTCTCACCCAGACCAGGAAGCTCCATGATGTCCACACGCTCCTCAGTCTGAAGCTACCCTGCAAGGTGACTGCTTAACCTCCCAGGGACAGCAGGGGGGTCTTGCCCCTCATGCCCATCCATGGGACCTCAAGAATTGTGCCCTGTGCTGATGAAAATGCAGAGGACAGGCACCATTTTGCTCGTTCTTCAGACCTAGACTTTTATATAGCCATTGGCAGCTCCACTCAGCCATGTTGTATGGCCCATGGCGCTGCACACTTTTGTAGAATTCCATCCTGCTTGATCATATTAACTGATAATACCATTTCATATGATCATTTCTCAACCAACCACAGCAATTAACCATACAAGAGAAACCAAGGAATCAGTGCACAGGTCAGAGGGCTTGGGATGTGACAGTGTTAGTGCATGTGTGAGACTCTGGCTTTGCTTCCCCAGCAACACACACACACACACACACACACACACAGAGGACTAGGACCAGCCAGCTCTGCATTCTCTGTTTCCACAAGATCCTTCCAAGTTTGATCATTTAAACCTAATCTTTTAAAGTGTGAGTGTGTGGTGTATGTACACGTGAGTGTATGTGTGTATGCGGTGTATGTACATTTGTGTGTATGTAGGTGTGTTATACACACATGTGAGTGTGAATACACATGAGAGTGTATATATGTGGGGGTAAGTGGGGGTGGTGTATACATGTGTGTGTGGTATATGTACACATGTGAGTTCATGTTTCTGTGTATTTGTGGGTGTGGTGTATATATATGTGTGTGTGCGCGTGTGTGTGTGTGTGTGTGTGTGTGTGAGTGTGTGTGTGTGTGTGTGTGTGTGTGTGTGTGTGTGGGGGTGAGTGGGTGTGGTGTGTACAAATGTGAGTTTGAGTATGGAAGCCAGAGATCAATTTTGAAAGTCTCTTCTTATTTTTTAGACAGGACCTCACTATGTAGCTCTGTCTGGACTGGAATTTGCTATATAGAGTAGGCTAGTCTCAAACTCAAGATCCATATGCTTTTGCCAGGCATGTCAGGCATGTGCCATCATACCTGGCTCTCCAACAATTTTTTTTCTTTTTTCTTTTTTTTTGAGATAGGATAGTTTCTCACCAAAGCTGCAATCCGCTGAT